TATATTTTAAATTTGTTTACAGTAATTTAAAACTAAACAAACACAGTGAAATATATTTTTTTCGTTAGGTTCAGAATGATTTTGGCGAAATTATTGCATACACAAATTTTCACTTGTCCTATATGGCAAGATGAGCGTTGCTATTTAAGCCAAGATCGCAAATTCTGCCTATTCGCACGACATATTATATATATATATATATATATATATATATATATATATATAATATATATGGGGAATCAAATTCAAAATGGGAATTGACACAGTTACTTTTTGCTGATGATACTGTGCTTATGGGAGATTCTAAAGAAAAATTGCAAAGGTTAGTGGATGAGTTTGGGAATGTGTGTAAAGGTAGAAAGTTGAAAGTGAACATAGAAAAGAGTAAGGTGATGAGGGTGTCAAATGATTTAGATAAAGAAAAATTGGATATCAAATTGGGGAGGAGGAGTATGGAAGAAGTGAATGTTTTCAGATACTTGGGAGTTGACGTGTCGGCGGATGGATTTATGAAGGATGAGGTTAATCATAGAATTGATGAGGGAAAAAAGGTGAGTGGTGCGTTGAGGTATATGTGGAGTCAAAAAACGTTATCTATGGAGGCAAAGAAGGGAATGTATGAAAGTATAGTAGTACCAACACTCTTATATGGGTGTGAAGCTTGGGTGGTAAATGCAGCAGCGAGGAGACGGTTGGAGGCAGTGGAGATGTCCTGTTTAAGGGCAATGTGTGGTGTAAATATTATGCAGAAAATTCGGAGTGTGAAAATTAGGAGAAGGTGTGGAGTTAATAAAAGTATTAGTCAGAGGGCAGAAGAGGGGTTGTTGAGGTGGTTTGGTCATTTAGAGAGAATGGATCAAAGTAGAATGACATGGAAAGCATATAAATCTATAGGGGAAGGAAGGCGGGGTAGGGGTCGTCCTCGAAAGGGTTGGAGAGAGGGGGTAAAGGAGGTTTTGTGGGTAAGGGGCTTGGACTTCCAGCAAGCGTGCGTGAGCGTGTTAGATAGGAGTGAATGGAGACGATGGTACTTGGGACCTGACGATCTGTTGGAGTGTGAGCAGGGTAATATTTAGTGAAGGGATTCAGGGAAACCGGTTATTTTCATATAGTCGGACTTGAGTCCTGGAAATGGGAAGTACAATGCCTGCACTTTAAAGGAGGGGTTTGGGATATTGGCAGTTTGGAGGGATATGTTGTGTATCTTTATACGTATATGCTTCTAAACTGTTGTATTCTGAGCACCTCTGCAAAAACAGTGATAATGTGCGAGTGTGGTGAAAGTGTTGAATGATGATGAAAGTATTTTCTTTTTGGGGATTTTCTTTCTTTTTTGGGTCACCCTGCCTCGGTGGGAGACGGCCGACTTGTTGAAAATAAATATAATATATAATATATATATTATATATTATATATATATATATATATTATATATATATATATATGCATGCATGCATGCATGCTGTGAAATGCATAGTATACAGAATACTAACCAATTAGGATGACCTAGTACACTACTTCTACCACTATAACCTCAAACCCAAGCAGATACAGTAGTTATCATGTTTCTTCATCACTGCAACACACACACAACACACACACACACACACACACACACACACACACACACACACACACACACAACCACACACACACACACACACATCGACCCTGCAACTACAAATAGGTGAGTACAAAAATAGGTGAGTACACACACACACACACACACACACACACACACACACACACACACTATCCAATCCTGCAAACAAAAAACCTTCCTCCTATACAGCACACCCAAAAAGGATACCAATATCAGCAGACTACTGGTTCTCCCCACTGGGCAGATTCTCATTATCACCCCAATTCTCCAGACAGCCAACATGAATGTAGCAGTCCTTACCACCAGAACTACTTGCAGTGTAGGAGAATACAGCATACTGTTTAGCGGATGATTAAATTCTATGTCAGAAAGATGAGCCAAAACCTTCAGACACACCTTCAGGAACATAAATATGCACTGTAGGAGGGATAAAACCAACAATGCATGTGCAGTCCATTGTAACCTTCATTTTCACATCATGGCATGGGGATAAGCACAATACTTACATCACAACAATAAGCTAGACAATTCTTTAAGCAACAGTGATCCCTCTCCTAAGTACCACTGAGCAAAATGATGAAATGTACATGTTGGCTGAACCTATTGCCCACACTGTCCATGATTCTTATCATAAACATAATAACTTGTCATCATAACACCACCCTCTACTCTCACCAATACCTGACCTCACTTGTATTTGATCTTGCATTTCCATGACTTAATATGTGGCCTGTCTTTCTCCAAGACTGTGTGCCTTATAATGAAGTGTATTTGTGTATTTCTGCATACTGCATTTAATAAAGCCATCTTAGGGAAAAAATGGATTTAAAGGGATTCTCTGTTAGAGGTGTGTATTTATTCTTATTGGCTTTTGTCATTGTCTAACTTTGCAACCAGTGCTATACTATACTGTATTAATACGGGCTACTCTACTTCAGTGTTTTTACAGAATTTTATAATTTCAAATAAAACTATACAGTATATATATTTTTTATCTCAAAGGCTTCTCCCACCAAGTTAATTAAGTAGGGCAAAAAAAAAAAAAGAAAAGGAAGAAAAGTTCACCATCAATCCTAGTCTTGCCAGAAGTGTGCTTACATCACAATTTAGATCACTCTAATTGCAGCATCTCCAACCCTCTTTTAGAGTGCAGAAACTGCCCTTCAGTCTCTAGGACTAAGTCCATCTTGATTTCCCTGAATCCTTTAAAAAATGTTACCTTGCTCACACTTCACTTCAACAGCACATCCATTAAAAACCACTTGTCTCCATTCACTACTATGTAACATGCTCACACAAGCCTGTTAAGCCCCTAAAACTCAACCCCTTTACCCCCTCCCTCCAACCATTCCCTCTCCATCCACTATACATACTCCAATCACCTCAACTTCTCAGCCCTGTGGATTATACTCTTGGTGACCCCCACATTGTCTTTTCATGTCTACACTCCAAATACTCTGTTTAATATTCAAACAACACTTTGCTCCCCAGCATGGCATCTCCACTGCTCTGGCCTCTTCCTCATTACAAGGTTTAAAGTCAATGCCTCACTCCCATATAAAAGTGTTGGTACCACTATGCTCTGGTACAGGTTTGCAATCGCAAATCCGGTAATTAGACATCTGGTTCCATCAGTTATTTGGCACTAATTTCAGCTAGCATAATTTCAAATTTCCAGGGTCACCACACCAACCTGCTGGTACTGTTTGGTGGCACTACTTGCTGCACAAGTCATTCCAATTTCTTTTTCTCCATTTATTGTTATAACCTGCTTGCTTTTAGCCCTAGCCATGGTTCCAATGAATAAAAGAAATGCTTCTCGTTGTGTAAAACACATACACAGTACACTGTCCATAAAAGATAAGGTGGCTTTGAAGCCACTGTCGGTTGCCATGAGCTCAGTCTTGTGATGCAGGGGAATATGCTTTATTATTATGCTAATATCAACACTACGGCTTATGTCCCTATCACAACTGATCTAACATGACATAACAAACAATATAAATAACATGTTAAATACTCCAGAATGAATAATATTTGGCATAATACTCAGTGGTTTGACGGAGGTAAGAAGAGGATATGGGATGTAAGTACCTCTCTTCTATCCCTGTCCTGGGGGCTTATATTAGAGAAAACTGAGTATAGCACAGGGCTGTGATATACACTCGTAGTGCACCATAAAACAAACAAAAAAGCTATTTTCTCTACATAGATAATCATACATAGCAGCATATGGGTAGAGAACCTAGGATAACACAAAAAAGTCTAAGTGACTTATTTCTAGTACCTGGCTTGGGCTTCCCATATGTTATTTTTGGTAAATAATTTTTTTTCCCAGTTGTTTGTTGGGCTATCTTATTGAAACTTGGGCAATGTATGATGGAAAAATGTTTCTTAATAGACACCAAAAATGTAAAAAAAAAAAAAAAAGAAGGGAAGATAAATAGTGGTATATTTCATATGGTTTTTATGGTTGTATTCTCGTTTTTTTGGTCTCATCTGATAGAATGGAAAATATATTACAGAAATAGACATGATTTTGATTGGTTTCAAGACAAAAAGTACCTTGAAACTGAGCTCAAAGTAGCAGAAATGTTCGATTTTTGCTGATGTACAATGAACTTTCCTGTGCAAGTCAAGTTGGTTAACTTTATGAAGTGTATTCTAACTCAACACTCTGTAATCCAGCAAACTCAAAACTCAATAATCCGGCACACTACAGGTCCCAATGATGCTGGATTTGTGATGGCGGACGTGTACATTTCCCAAGAATACTAAAAACAGCAAGTAAAGTACAAGTAAATGCTGTACACTGATTTTAGTTTTTTTTTTTTTTTACTATTAGGATTATGTATATGGAAACAGTACTGCCAAAGTATTATTATTTCTGCTTTGGTGCTATACTGTACCCACTAATATTTTTACTTTATTGTATAATGCCAACAAATAATAATTTATAAAATGGTATTTACTGTATCTATTATTATTACAATACATTACTCAACGGCTGGTTCCCATCACACACGGTGACCCAAAGAAAACATTTATTTTATTTATATATTTATTTAGTAATTTGAGTATACATACAGAGATACAAAAAAATACAGGTAAGAGCAGCATGCCAAAGCCACTTGTATGCATAGCATTACGGGCTGGCTTAAAATTAACTTAAGATTAACTAAGCAATGAACATTCACTCAATTGCCATCTTTCCAAAAGTGTACTGATACCAGATTACCCTCCATCTTCATTGTTAATTATATTACAAGAAAATCCTTTAAAAAAAATACAAAAATATGACAAAATATTAAGGGTTTTTGTTTCAAAGTAGTATTACTAATTTGCTTAATTTCCCCCAAAATGCAAATTTGACTTAAAATTGGGATAGTTTAATTACCTGAGCATTGTGATGGTCAGAACAGGTGTTAGGTTTTTGCTTGTCAGTTGGTGGTATTTGAGTGGCAGATGTTTTCTTCTCAAAAGCAGGAGGCCTTGATGTGACCACCTCACTCATAGTACCCATAATGTTAACCCTAACACTCTTGTGGCTGTCTTCAGTAAAATCTGTTTTGTGGAAGATAAGAAAGGCTTTATATGATACTGTTTATTCAAGATAAATCAACAACTTATCATTTATTCTATAAAACTGCATTACACCAAATTTTTTAATTATTTTTATTTTTATTATCACACTGGCCGATTCCCACCAAGGCAGGGTGGCCCGAAAAAGAAAAACTTTCACCATCATTCACTCCATCACTGTCTTGCCAGAAGGGTGCTTTACACTACAGTTTTTAAACTGCAACATTAACACCCCTCCTTCAGAGTGCAGGCACTGCACAGCAAACAATTTATAAATAATTGCCAATATAATAATTTTTTTTTTAACAAAGTATTGTTCACCATACACCTTTCCCTTAACCCCTAGTCATTCATTTCCTGCCAGACTGTAATGGTAACTCTCTCTTAGCAATACATTATCTAAAAAATTGTCATCTGATTACATGTTCTCTCTACAATCATCTAGTCCAAAGTTTAAGTAAATTACTTTAACAATGGTTAAGAAATTTAATGTAACAGATTTTAGGCAGGCGAGATTTGTAGTGAAAATAGGTTGGCATGCACTCAGCTCCCATAATGAGTGTCCATGGTTTGATCCTGGTATGGGTGGAAATACTAGGCACATTTCCTAACACCTGCTGCCCCTGTTCACCCAGTAATAAGTAGGTACCGAGGTGTTAGTCGACTATTTTGAGTCACATCCCGAGGGGTGACAATATACCTCAGATGTGGCTGGGCTTTGAAATGAGAGCTGAGGCAGGACAGCAGCTCTTAGCCTGAATGATTAATGTGGGAAAAAAAAAAAATGCTTGTTTTTCAGTATATTCATTACAGTATATTTTAGCACTACAATCATTACAAACTGATTTAGGTCTCAAAAGGAACATATTAAAGTTTTGCCCTGAGAGAATTAATAAAGGATATTGCAGAACAAATGAACATGAGTGGTATTAGAATTTCTATACTGGGGGTCTTTGGAGTGGTTATCTGGTTGGAAATGAGTGCTAGAAGACTTGTAAAGAAACATTATTATTATTTTCATTGAGAGCTTCAGCCCCCAAGCCTCTCCCCCTTAGTGCTGCTCCTGTGAACACACGAGTAAATTTTTGAGTCTGACACTAAATGAAAGGAACCATATAATTACAAAGTGCTACTAGGCTGGTTATTCAGCACATGGGTCAATAAAGGAACTAGCTACATAATACTATGCTTTACATGCCTACATCTTACATTTGGCCACTTTATTACAACTTCTGGCACTTGAAAAATTGCAGTGAAGAGGACATATGGCATCATATCTATGTTGCTCCAATCCATGTTAACAGTAAAAAATAATGGGAGGTGAGGATGTTCGAGCATCTGAATGCAAGAATGAAGGAATTTGTATCTACAAGAACTAGGGATGGGATGATACCGATACCATCAAAATTAACTGACATTCACTGATACCATCAAAATAGGCCAAAACTCGCTTGATACGGATACCAATACTCTGACATATCCCTAATCTGAAAACCATTAACCTTCACATGTTGTATAGCTTCTACAGCCTTTGAGGTGTATAATTCCACACTGTAAAGTACATACAAAACAGTAGTGAAGTAATGCATAGGGATAACTCTCTTCATTAGTCTACCCCTATGCAAGAGAAATGAACAAGTGTGTGCAGGGCCACTAGCACAATATCAAATTACTTTTTAGAGAGCTGTATGATGACAGCACAAGGGATGTCCTACAATTAGCCTATAATTGATCCTCAAGCACCTGATTAGCCTATACCTGTTTTACACATGGTATTCACGATCTTTAACCCTTTGACTGTCGCAACCCCCAATCCTGAGGTGTCTCCTGGTGTCGCAAAATTTAAAAAAAAAAAATTATTTTTTCTTATGAACTGATAGAGAATCTTTTCCCGATTGTAATGACACCAAAAAAAGAAATTTGATGGAAAACTGACGGAATTATGCTCTCGCGAAGTTAGCGACCTCGGCACTGTTTACAAATCGGTGATTTCGCCCACTTTGAGCCCTATTTTCGGCTAATTTCATTGTTCCAGTCTCCCAACCTCATAGCTATTTCTTTAGAACTCCATTTTTTCTATCGACTGAGTACAAGAAACTGCCCATTTACCGATTTCAACTACCTAATAATGTGGTCAGAAATTTGCAATTTGGCCAATTTCACGAAAACTAAAAAATATGACAATTTCAAAATATGGTCCAGAATGAACAATGCAGACATTCCTGGCTCTAAAATAACATTTTCTTTGTTCATCAGTCACGTTTCCAGGCTCCTCTGATATTACTCTTGCTTTCTATTTTGAATTTTTATTCAAACAAAAAATAGAAGACTTACTATTATGCAGACTACTTCAATACTGTAATAATTGTATAAATAACATCAACTCATTCATGACTGCATATTAGAATGGCTAGTTGGACATTTATTGGACAACGGCATCATTTGTTTACTTTTGAACATTGGCAAAAATCAAACATTTCCCCTACTTTGAGCTCCATTTCTAGGTTCTTTTTATAGTAAAATCAATCAAAATCACCGCTATTTCTATAATATATTTTCCATTCTATCAAATGAGACCAAGAAAACGAGAATACAACCATAAATACTATACGAAAATAGACCACAAATTCGGCATTTTAATTAAAAAAAAGATCGGAGTTTTTTTTTTCTCATTATGCACTGCGTGCTCCAGGATTTTTTTATATGGTGCACACTGACCACACAGACCCATTCTCTCACATGTAGGCCTACCAGCTTTCTCCTGCTTGATTTGAAGGCGCTAGAATTTATGAGTATATATACGTCAAACATGGTACCTCGTAAGACGTATATATAAGGCCGCGACAGTCAAAGGGTTAATTATAGTGCATTACTCTGAAGGGACACTCAAAGTGCCAACAAAGAGGAACCTGCCCCTCCCATCACTGATGGTATGGCAGATTATACCATCAGGGAATACACCTAACATTAATGCAAATCTACATCTTTTCCAGAATGACAAAAATACGTGGCACACTGTACCAGCCATTCAGTATTGACACCTAGTATGGAGGAAGCCAGAACACGAGTGGACACGACTAGAAATTGAAGATGGTAGACACCTGACACCATGTTTGTAGCACAGTCTATATTAACATATACGTATATACGTTTTTTCAACATCTGAAAGTATGTAAAAAATGTAATCTTTTTTTTTTTTTTTTTACATGTGAAAACGTGTAAAAAAACTTATCTACATTTTTTTTTGTTATATTTGAAAATATGTAAAAAAAAGTAGATCTACTTTTGTAGCACTACGAATTTGAACGTCGATCTGTTTGGACCGTTTAAGGGTTAAAACACTGGTCATCGCAGAAAAACCAAGAGAGGAAACAGATGATTCCACTGTCGTAAGATGGAGAAAGGATGATAGGAGAAAGAAAACATCCATCATAATGTAAACATAATGCCGGGTTCTTTTTTTTACAAACCCCCCTATTCTCCGAAAATTTTCCAGCTGGGTCATGTCGTCTTCTCCTATTGCTTTCATGATGCTTTCAATTGCTTTTTTTCCCCTTGTTTTCTTGCTTCATATGTTTCCCCTTCAACTTCCTGGAGCCCATACACAAAGACTGACCTCACCCTTTCATTCTCCCACTGCGTATCCCTGTGTATCCCCTCATTTAATTTGGTTTCCTGCACTGCAGCTTTCCTTTCTTCAGTTTCACTGGCTAATGTACTTGGGCTCAGTGGCCTGTCATTTTCCCTTCTCGGCTTTCCTTGGGCTCTGTTGTTGTTGTCTGTTAGGGCCTCCACATAAAGCTTACCTCTTTCATTTACTACAGTCTCCTCTGATAGAGCTTCCCCATGCAGTTGTACCCCTTCTTTCCCTACAGTCCCCTTATTTGTGGCTGAGGTAGCAGTCTCTGTTGTCAATCCCAAAATGTTCTTTAGTTCTTTAGGCTGTTTCAGATTTTTCAGTTCCTCTTCTAAACTCTGTATCCTAGCCTCTGCTGCTTTGACATGCACCTCCCACTTCCTGCTTTCCATATCTATCCTCTCTTCCATTCTCATGCTAAGTTCTAGTTTCTTTTCCCATTCATGATCTCTTTTTATGAGCTCTGCTGCCCAATCTTCCTTTGCAGCTTCCTCCTCCTGTCCCTTGGTGTTTCTTGTTGCTCTCTGACAACCCATTTTTGTTTTATCCTGATTGCCTCAGAGTGGGAAACCTATTAGTTCTGTATGTTGGGTTAATAGTGTGTATGTCAGAGTGTGGGGGGGGAGGTAGTGGAGGAACTGTGGCTATGTGGGAGAGGAGTGGGGAGGGGTGGGTAGGGGGAGAGATCGGGGGAGGGGTGGGGAGGGTGAACGAGGGAGGGGAGGGATCAGGGGAAGAAGTGAGATGTCGGTGGTGAGGGGGGGGGGTGAGGAGTTGGATATGTGTGAGTGTGGATAGTGTGTGTGTGTGTGTGTGTGTGTGTGTGTGTAATTTTGTGTGGAATTATGTGTGGGTTTTATATGTACTGAAAGGTAGGTGGCTTGTGCGTTGTAATGTAGTCTCAGTGGTCCTTTGCTGCCCACAACTTCTTGTGACCTGACCCCCAACCTCCTGGGGCTTGACCGGCACGTACTTACAGTGTGTGTGTGTGTGTGTGTGTGTGTGTGTGTGTGTGTGTGTGTGTGTGTGTGTGTGTGTGTGTGTGTGTGTATGTGTGTATGTGTGTGTATGGTGTGTGTGTGTATGTGTGTGTGTGTGTAATTGTGTTGTGTGTGTGTGTGTGTGTGTGTGTGTGTGTGTGTGTGTGTGTGTGTGTGTGTGTGTGTACTCACCTATTTGTGGTTGCAGGGGTCGAGTCTTAGCTCCTGGCCCCGCCTCTTCACCGGTTGCTACTGGGCCCTCTCTCTCCCTGCTCCATGAGCTTTATCAAACCTCGTCTTAAAACTGTGTATGGTTCCTGCCTCCACTACGTCATTTTCTAGGCTATTCCACTGCCTTACAACTC